TAAGAATGTGAAATATTCCATGGAAATTTTACCTGAGCCTGTTGCTGAGTTGATTTTGAAAAACAACTGCATTTCTAAATAATTACAATTTTGAATATTCTGTGGAAAAATAACGTTTACCTTGTACACTTCCTGATTTTGTACATGTGCAACACCAAATGAAATAAAGTATGCGAGCTGATTGATGATGATTGCCTTTCACCAATGTAAACAAAAAGAAAATAATCAGAATTCAAGTTGTTTGAACTGATAAGGATTCTCAACTTGAATCAGTAAGTTTTAATTGTTGAAATCTGGTATTTCCGTGCTGCACTTAAGAGACTGTTAAAAACTAAGCTGGACGGATACCAATTTATCTGTCGATAACGTAGCCGGGTAACCAGTGCTGACAAGCAGCTGTATCAGTCTCATAAGCTCCCATTGAAATGATATCAAAATACGAAAGAATTATAAACCATTACAGATATGATAAATCCATTATTTACAGTTGATAAATGGTCGTTCACTGACAAAAATACAATCTAGTTGAGTCAAATATATGGGATTTTTAACATTTAACAAATAATCAACTAAGGTCAGTCAATTAATTCTTTCCAGTAATTATGAGACTGACTTTCCATCCCTTATGACATAATGTTACTACCTTACTTATTATCCGGACTCAGATGATCTTTTATGTTGCACTGAGGTTCATTCTCATGTAATTTGTTTAGCCATTTAGTACAGCTAAATGACTTATTTTGTTTTCATTCTATCTAAGTCTTACTAGCTGAAAAAAGCCTACTTACTCAGCTACTAGGCCTTAATGTTTCAAAGCCCACTCATAAGAACACATCACATTGTCATTTAGGTATATCCAAATCACATTTCCCCAGTTAAATATGACACCTATGTTTTGAAATCACGGAATATACACATTTCGTCATAGGGAATAAGAAGACAGTTGCAGCGAAGAAAATTGTCTTTTCGACGAAGTCATCAACTAGTTAGCTGTACATTCGTGTATTTATAATAAATGGATGGGAAAGTTTCAGAATAATTTCCGGTTAAAGGTCGAATCAATAAAACTACAATCAGGAATTAAAATGCCATAATAAACAGGGGGATGGATAAAGCTCAGACAGAGTAGCATCATAATTACTGAGAAGATTGATATGTTGTGTAATTAGAGGTTAGAAATGTAGAAATAACAACAATAGACAGGATAAAAAATCTGGTGGGATCATAACTAATGTGACGAATAATTGTTTATGCAACTAAGGATCAAATGTGTAGAAATAATAAAATAACAGAATAGACAGAAAGTTCGGATGTGAAAATATGGTAGTGTAAATAGGATTAAGAAAAACCTAAAATAACATGAATAAACAGGAAGTTTGGATAAGAAAGGCAATGGGATAATCACTACTAAAGGAATTACCTGTTAATGATATCCATGGTAGGGACAAGGGTTGAACGTATTTCTTTTGGATAGCTAGTGCGTCGGCTATGTCCAGGTGTCTTAATTTTATTCCCTTTGATAGGTTTGATTGAATCTTGTATATTATTTTGAGGGATTTTTCGAATGGCTCTGTATATTCTGAATTGACTAGATTTTCTGTCACTGAACTATATACCCGTTTTCGTTCTCCTTTTACTAGCCAGGCTGGATAGTGTTCACGAGCGCGTTTTTCAAGTTGGCGCATGGCATGGCCAATGTACTCAATTCCGAAAGAGTAAGTAAACTGGTATATGCACGTTGAAGTAGCCGAATGCGACAGCTTGTCTTCCGCATTCTGGCTGAACAGTTTCTTGCAGGAATTTTTGAAATTTTGAATTCTAATGATAGCTATAGCCAAGAAAAATGAAAACGAAGTAACGATGCAGATTATGACTGGTTGTAGTTGAATATTCTCTGACTGGTATTCTTTGGTCATTTTCAGCACTTATATGCCACTTAAGACAATTAGCTTTCACGAACAGACCATTTGGTCAGTTTTTACTTACATTTTAGTGTTAGACTGATACCTGAAATTATTATTACAACAGACTGTCCAGTGATTCTGAAAAGCCATTCTCTATCAGGACACTAGACAGTTGTCCGTTCAGACATAAAGAATAATAAGCAGTAACTTGTATCTTCTGTCTTTAAAAACCGTTAGCTTTAAGCTTTATCAAATATTTTCGTCATCTTCCGTTAGCTTCATGTAGTAAGATAATGAAGATGAAGAAAACAAAAAATGAAGTCAGGCGTAAGTGAAGTTAACCTCACGTAGTTTACAAATTCCCCAGTTTACTAACCAGCCCCAAACCTGGGAACAACTGGAAAGTTAGACGTGAGGTTTGCGACCTTATCCTGGAAAATCATTCCACTCTTTAGAGAAACTTCAACGTCCAGAGAAAGTACGAAAAATAAACTTATTGTCCATTGGGATCGTAGGGACGAAGTGATCCGGGCCAGTAAAAATCTTCAGGAAGCCAGTTAGTCAATGTCTTCTTTTGATGAGAGTGAAGATAAACATAGGGACGTGGACTATCCACATGACGTCTCAAGCTGCAAAGGCTGCTTCGATTGAAAAAGAAATAAAAAGAAAAGGCATAAAAGTGTTCGAAATATGTGAGAGGAGATGGACTGTTCGAATCTGTGGCTGGAGAGTCAAACGAAAGCACCTGCTTCAAAATAAATGTATTCCCTTTCTTTGGGAAACAAACGGCAATTTTCCCGATAAATCGGAAAATGCTGAAGAATACTAAGCTTTTCTACTCTTATTAATAATAATACTCTTATTAACGAGTAGAGAACGGCAATCCACTACGCTTCGTGGAGGCCAGTAGCAAAGTACGTTGAAGAAATACAGAGATTAATAAGTTAGCTATACTCAGAATTTAGGGGTGACATTGTGAGTGAAATACTTAAAAATCGTCTGACGAGATCATTGAGCAAAACATTCTTTGCTGCTACTTTATAAATATCATACACTAGCTGTCCACTAGTACACCTTAATGTCAAGGAAATGTTACCTCGACTGTCTAATTCCATGTGTATGTTAGCCTGCTCTTGTGGAGGTAGGTAAAGATGATGCTCATCGTGAAATATATCCACCACGTTCGAGAGCCAAGGAAAACGTAGAGGTATTCTTTCATCGATACTGCAACACACATTGCAGATACTGACCACGCAGCATCTGACAAATCGTTTGTTATAGTCTACAAAGTCCGACAAAGTTTGCCGAAAGGGACATGAGTACATTTGCTTTCTATAGCACGGGCTTTGGAATGACATAAAGCCAGAACTCTGTGTACAGAAACAATTTGTACGACCTCTTTACCAGATAATTCATATAACACCTTTGTTGTCCTTCTTTATCCCGTGGTCCATTTTTGTTTAATTTCATTTTACTTTATGTTATCATATTCTAACATGTTATCTAGTCTACTCCTTTGACAACATTTCACTCATCCTGTGTTTCCAGCATATTCTACTCACATATTCACATTTCCGAATGTACTTTATTTTCCGATCATCTATTTCACAGATGTCTATTGAACTTTGGGTTGACCTCTATTTATTTATTTATTCATTCATATATCTAATCAATGGTGACTCATAATCCTATACACCAAAATTATTATCGCACTTTAGTATTCCCACTCACTGTCACACACACACACACACACATGAAAACTGATTGTTATTGTCTGTTGTAATGTACAGCTATGAAAATGAAATCATCGAAAATAGAATTTTCTCCACTGAATTCTTTGTTCTTATAAAACTAGTGTTACGTTTGAGTCTGAAATACGTCTAGCTGAACAGTCTCAAACAGGACGAAAATCGTGATCTGCATTTCATTTCTAGCAACTATCAAAAGAACAACAACGAAATAGACTTTCATGAAATAAGGGAAATGAAATTTCTACAATTCTTTTCATTCTATCAAGTAATAAGAACGGTGAAGTACAAGAATAGCGTCCCAGGAGGGCGAACGTTCAAATGACCTTGAACGCATGCTAGTCGTTGGCTAACGGTCCCTGTCATTAGAGTTAGATTTACGGCAGGATAAAAATTGTCATTTGGGTTAGGATTAAGGTTAGGGCCAGTGTGAAATTTAGGGTTAGGGTCAGGTTTAAGGCTAGGGTTGCGATTAGGAACAGATTTGTCGTTTATTTCAACTTGTTTTATTATCCTCATTTTCCTTGTATGTAACCGTCTATCCTCTTACTGAAACCATAGTAATTTAACGGGGGGCTTTGGAGAGGACCACACAGCAAGAGAAGAGAGATGAACGATTCACAGAACAGCACATCTTCAATCACTTCGGTTAATGCATCTATAGAAACTAGTCCAAGTTGGCAACTGATACACTTCATCATAACTGGGACGTATTTTCAAGTCATGTCAGAGAGAGAGATAATCTGTTTAATATTATTCCATCCATTTTCTTGTAAATATACGTCATTTTTCGTGCAAAAATTCCTCATTTTTATGATTGGCTGTCTGAAGGTCACTCGTGTGTTCGCATCCCTTGGGACGGTATTGTTGAACTTTGCCATAAGAACATCTCACCAACCAGTTCATTCTCATTTTAGCTCAAGATGAATGTCTTGTATTCTTACACCAAAGAGGGTGTGGATTAGGCACGCACAGTTGAACAGTTTCAACTAGCCAGGAAAGGTTATTCAGTTCTATTTCTTGTTCAGTCAGTCTTACTCCTTTCTTCTCAGAATGACTGCAATCAGTACAACAATAATTTCCCACTGTAAATTTGTCTCCTTTTACCTGAGAAGTTGAGAAGATAGATATGCATTATGAGACAGAGATAGATAAATAAAATGAATGGAAGAAAAGCCACAAAAATAAGTTGTCTACAATCTGATTGGTTAGGAAAATAACAATATTATTGGCAGTGGGGCTACTAAAGATAGTAATCATGATAGTAATAATAACAATAATGATGACGGTATTACCATTATTAACAGTAGATGATAGTAAGGAGAGCAGAAGGGGAGCAGAAGAAAGCGAATTTAGAAAATAAATCATTGGTCAATCATTTTTTTTTATTGTTAATACAATCATTAGTATGCTGTTGAAAGGTTTATTGTTAACTGGAGAAAAATCTGGAAGAAGAAGATGAAGACAAGAAACGTTTATTTTTCTGACACACTGTAATGCACACACACACACATACACACACCTATATGTACACACGAAATGAACAACCATGGAGAGACACATTCACACCTCCCCCATATAAAGTTATTTACTATTTCATTTAATAAACACACATGTAAACAAATTCTGCTGAAATAATGATAATAATGATGATGATAATAACAATAATAATACAGAGGAGAGAATAAAACTCATAAAACTCAACGACAAATGAACCACTAAGAGGAAGGAGAAAACGTGAAGACGAAAAAAGAGAAAAAACAACAACACGGGGATAAAATTTCTCTTCTAAACTGATCCACTGAAACCAATAGAAATTAGATAAAAGGCTTGAAGAAAGTTACTATTCTTTATTATTATTATTATTTTTTTGTCTACTTATTACGTAGTAGGGGAGAATGAAGCAATACGAATAAAATGCTAATAGGCTTATTATTAAAAGTTTATTATATAAAAGGGAATGGATAAAGTTAGATAATTCATTTCTATCACTAGAATTATTATGAATACATGGAGGCATAATGGTGATACAGTGAACGCGATGAACAATTACAATTCAAGTATTACGAATCCGTTTCTATGGAATCAGTTGATGAATTACATTACAAACCACAGACAATTATCAAGTGAAACTTATGAAAGTAGAAATATGTTAAGTAATAACTGTGCTCAATCAGAATCTTTACAAAAATCGTTAACTTCTATACCACTATCAATTTTTCAGTCGTATTCAAAAGATTTAAATTATCCACCGTTGAATAATGAACACAATGATCACTGCAATCAACCGATGAATAATGTAAGTATGATGAAAATGATGATGAATCCAGAATTGATTATGTCCATAAATAATTCATTCCACAGTAATAGTAATAACAGTGATAAAACTTTAAATCATAAGTCATCATCGAATCCAGTCACAGTTATTTCTTCTTCCTCATCATCACCAATATCTTCTGTTCATTTACATCGCAACCAACCAAATACTCCTTCTTCATCGCCTTTGGAATCCCATTCACATCATCATAATAGTAATAATCATTCACATGTGAAACGTCCAATGAACGCGTTTATGGTATGGTCACGTGGTCAACGACGTAAAATGGCACAAGCTAATCCTAAAATGCACAATTCTGAGATTAGTAAACGATTAGGCATAGAATGGAAACTGTTGACTGATAATGAGAAACGTCCATTCATTGATGAAGCAAAACGTTTAAGAGTTAATCATATGCGTGCATATCCAGATTATAAGTATCGACCAAGAAGAAAACCGAAACATTCAAGTAAACCAGAAAAATTCACTCAACCAACAGTACAAGGTGAGTTAGGTATCAAGAAGTACTGTTTTAGTGTAAAGATTGACTATACTTTGTTTTAGTGGAGATTTCGATTTATCAGAGAAATCAGCTTGAAATCTCTTACCTACTCAGAGCATAAATATGAACCCCTTGCTCATTTATCGATATATTCCAGAGAGATTTTTCTAAAAATATTCTGTAAAATGTCAGTAAGATCCACGAATTCAACTCACCCATGACACTGGATAGTAGTAGTAGTAGTACTCCATTGTGAATGGACAGAATTTGAAGACTGTAGAAAGAGCGAATGATCGATAAAGTTTTTGCCATTTGAACTAATGTCTTTAGTGTCTTTTGTTGTGCAGTTTTAGGTGAACACTGTCAAAGAATCTTTAGCTATTATGAAAAAAAGTCTTTCGGGTAACAATAGTTTCTTTAACAGGTGGTGAAGTGAATTGGTTTATTTTTGTATTGGAACTAATTAAATTGACGGTGAAAATTTTTCAGAAGGCATATGTTTCTTTTTATCAGCTATATTATTATTAGTAGAAGTAATAATAAAGCACCTGAAAGAATGTTGGCACACCAAGAAATATCTAATCTGAGGCAATAGAAGAATGCACTCATCGATCAGTATTCAGCATTTGAAATTAACCATTAATTAGACAATTTAAAAACTTTGAACAATTTATACGTAATTATTTTTGCTGCTGAGACGAGGTGTTTGTTCAGTAGAATTGTTCTAGTGTTAGATGTGTATAATGATTTAATTCAATAAGAAGGAATACTTGATTCATTTCAGAGTTCAGTAGATTAGTCTTAGGGTTATAGAAGCCTTACTTGAATTACAGCATTTATACACTTACAGAAGCTTAATCTTAGCATGTCGTTATTATCCAAGCCTTGTAACACAACAAGTGTGTTGACAAACTATAGGCCCTTGATTCCAGTTACATCGTTTAGAGGTGTTTCTGCCTCAAATTTAAAACTATGCTTTTATTTCCAACCTTATATTCTAGGGGTTAAAAGCAATATTCTAATTGGGAATCTTGTATCTGTAAGTTAATCTTACTCTCTGTCAGCGATTTCCTTTGACCTCTATTATTATGCGTGTTAATTGGATTACCTTTTTTGTTTTAACTTACAACTCTTCAGTCTGCAATCTACAAGATGGCTTGTGATAAACTTTTTGTGGTATACTATGGATTAGGGAAAAGGTGAACATCATGTCTATTGTATCCAAAGAATCGACAGAATCTGATTGACGGGAGAAGAAATATGTTACACCCCATCTTAAATCAACCACATTAGTGGATAAGATGTCCTTTTGCCTTTGAATGGAAATTAGAAATGTAATTATCATTAAGATGACTAGGCAGGAGGAGGTGTTACGTATTACACATACATAATTCGCATGGTTTATATCATTATAAGCTAGGCTAATCTGATTCTTTGGTTTATCAAGTCATGTATCCGGATAGCCAATTTTATTAGTTTAATAGGGAGATTTATTAAGGCATATAAAGGCTGTCTGAAAAGACAAGTCCACTTTTTACTGAACTAGATACATAGTGTCATCAATAATAGTTAACAACTCTTCATTGTGACTGAATTTCTTCATTAGTTTCTTTATTTTTAGTTTACGTTCTCAGTGGAACATAGGGCTTCGAGCTATGTTTCTGTAGCAGTGATGTTTACTGTTACGGGATAGGGATGCTAGCCTCATGCCCACTCTTCCTTCTTTACCAGTCCTAATACTGGTTCAGTGAGGTAAAGGAATGTGTCGGATGGGGGTCGAACTCCGGACCACATGCATGGTTTGTGAGCATTTTACCGCTGTGCCACCAACGCACTTTCTTCATTAGTACAACCACTAGTTGGATTACACAGTACTACTTTAATTTGACTGATAACATGTTACCGGATGGTAACACACTCAACTGTCATCTGCGTGCCAATTGAAGTCTATCGATCAGATTTACAAGATGGACATTAGAATGAGTAAACACGAGATTAGGAGACGTCTTGCTGCCCTTAGTTATAATTTGGGGTCAATCAATAAACAGTGGTGCATCGCTTAGATTCCGAACATTTTATCGTATATCAGATAAGCGTCAATTCAGTGTTGATGAAATGCATATTTCCTTGATCAGGCGGGGGTGATGGTGCTACAACTCCACTCAATGCTAAGGCTAGAAAGCTTATCTCCACATACTTGGTAGATATACACATGTAAACTGAGTGATAGTGCAGTTAAAAGAAGCGGATTCAGTTAAACTCTGAGAAATTAGAGCCTTAAAGTATAAAGCGATGTAATATGAACAGATATACTGTTCAATTATATAAAATTTCAGAACTATTGTAATCTCAGACTTTCAGTAATATTTTATTTAGCGTCTTCAGTAACATTCGGACAGCATTAATACAAACTGAATTTATCTGAAAATTGTGATAGATTTACTCAATACATTTCGAAAAATCCGGTCATACATCTACTTGTCATTTCAATTTATATAAAAATAAAAAATATAAAGGTCAAATAAAATTAACAAAGAAAGCAAGCACTTAAGACTAAGGAAATTAGTAATTAAAAATACTCTTGGCAATATAATCACATCTACAATATCACTTGAAAACATAACCGAAAAGAAGGGCTTGAAACCATTAGTAAACTTTGAAAAATTCCTGTCCCGTACAGAACACAGATAAGTCACTTTACAGGTGCATAACGCAGCTTGACAGCTTAAAATAAACTTCACTTTTACAAAGGTTTTCAAAGTGTATTGGATGATATATGCTCATGAACGCGAAAATTATTTTTGTAAACTCCTATCATTCTTTTTTCTGCTCATGACAAATCAATGTGGATATAGGCTGCTATAACTTAAATCCTAAACTATTATTTTTTTATTGATGTCACACGATACTACTTCTAAACTGATGAATAGAGTAGTTGTAAATGAACGGCCATTAGTTACTACTTCCAAATTTGAATGAGTAGTTTGTTCTATAAAAAGACATCAGAAGGATTGAATATAAAGGTGAAATCAAGTTAAACTAAATGCAGAACACGACAGACAATTGAAACTAATATACGAGAAAAGAAATTCAGGTGTTGCTGTTAACGTTTTATAAATGTCAAGCATGAAACGTATTTCACAGAAAAACAACTAAATGTACTCAATGGGTGATTCAGTCAATAAGATTTTAGCTTAAGAACAGGCCTAATATTTCAGAAAACTTTACATAATTGATGGATTAAGGGAATACAGGGGTGAAAATTATGATTATTATTCATCACTAAAAAACCAGAAAAGGGAATCAGATACAGAGTAATCGATAAATTCTGTAGATACTACTCAGTTCAACATACTTAGGAAGTAGGGTAGCATTTTAGAAATATTACAAAAACTGTATACTATTTAGATGTTGTTCGCATGATGGTGATTATTAATAGAGTTTAGAATGTTCGTCTCATGCTGCTTGGAACTTGTCAACTGAGAAGAAAGGAACGAAAGTAACAAATGCAAGAGGATAACAAAAGATGACTTTACATCTTTAAGGATGTATTAGACAATATTTACATTTTTACAGCAGAAGGAACAATATCGTTCAATCAGATAGCAGATATGACCACCTAACTAATCTTAGATGAAATGAAAGAGTACTTTTTCGATTCAGTGCTGGTCACTACGAGATATGTATGATATACATATATTCCCCTTAATTCCTTACGTTCAGGGTGAACACATGTCGTAAAGCTTGTCTGAAATTTTGGTAGCAGCAGTGTTGTTTTTCTAAGGTCCGGCTGCTAGCCTCATGCCTAACTGACTAATATTTGCATCGCATAGTGGCATATAGTAATTACGCAATTCCCAAGTTGAGTGAATTAAAAACCCAGACGGGATCACCAACCTTTGGACTACTGGCGTGTTGTTAGTTCCAGGAAACTGATAGTTTAATTTTTACTATGCCCTGGGTTCATCCTTCAATCTCAGTTATCACCTCAACTAAATTAGCTTATTACTATACTGAGATTGGCGAAGTAGGAAGATACAGTGCAAATGAATTGTTTTCTCAGTCTTATTACAGAATATAAATCGTATAATATTAGTATAGTGTTTCAAAGATTACCAACAAACAGCGCAAGCTGATACTCACGTTTGATTTGGAAAACATTTGGTGATTACTGAATCAAAAGAATATTAATGGCTTACTGGTTAGAGTAGTTGGTCAAAATAATTGTTTATTTTTGCGAAAACACTTACAAATTAATGAGCGTTTGTATGGTGATAATTACTAGATTCGGATGCAAATGTGTTATAAACATACGACTTTGTTGTGTTCTAAACAAGATAAAGTGCACCTTATGGATTTAATTGCTAGCCACTAGAAAAAAAACAGCAACTTGAAGGTACTTGACTAACAGGAAATAATCTGCTGGATAAAGACTAAGTAAGTAATCCGACAGTAAAACACACATTTGTAAATAGATAACGAGTCATTACAGTTACAATCTCTAGCCTAACTTCTGATATTTGTTAAAGCAAAGCACTGTAATCTTGAGAAATGCATAGTAATGGTTGAATAAGGTTATATAGTAGTACACAAATGTTAACTGACAAATAAAATGTATATCACACAGCATAAGTAATTGTTTAAATAATAATATTAATAATAACAGAAAATTCTGTTGATTTCGAAATAAGTGCCACACATTTCAGAGACTGGAATATTTCTAGCTCGAGTTAGTGGATTAGTTGATAAGCCTTTAATTGTTAAAATCTACTGGTATTGACTTGTAGAACAGCCTCTGATCGTGTTTATCTGCGCGACTGAATTTATGCCTACGTAAACTTCATTGTGAAGAAAAAAGGTCGTCAAGAAAGATTCTTCTTGTGATAAATCATACGGCAGAATATCCTCTTGATCATTATATTCATAAGAAGAAAGCGAAGCCTAAGTCTTGTCAACCACAATGTCTATTATTCCGGTTTGAATCGAAACTAAGTCACTGGTTT